AATCTTTGTTATTACAATTTTGCGGATGTCACCATAGGTTTAGGTGAATATTCTATCCCCATCCCTATTCTCACTTCATGGTGAAGCCGACAGCGATATAGAGAAGAACACATCACTAAAGCATCTACTGGATGGTACTGGACTACTGAACGATCGCGATCGACAGGAGTGGATGGACTTTATCATTGAAACGGCTGGTATTGCTGATGCAATGGATATGGTCAAGGTACATTAAGACAAATTTTATCAAAAGGAGAAGACTTTTCGTTATGTGTTTGCAGTAAGACTCAAAAACTTTTCTTCTAATAAGTGGCTCAATGAGCACCTCAGAGAACGCTTTGTTTGAGAAAGAAATTTCATTGAAAAAACTTTAGAAAATAATAGAAAATAACAAGGAACTAGATAGTCTTTCAGAAAAAAGCCTAATATTTTCAAGCAATCAACGACACGAGATTTACTGAAGTCAGAAATTTGACATAATAGAGGCTCAAATGCACACCCCAGTTAGTTGCACTCTATCTCAGCAGTAGTTGATAAGAAATGCCAAATCCATCTTTTTTTGCGTCATTACGTTAAACAATTCTGATTTCCAAACCAATAACTTACGGCATTTTGAATTTAAGATTTTTCATTAGATTAGCTTGCTTAGTTTGCTAGCTATATAGTTTTTAATGAAAAAGTAATTGATCGGCGTTCCATTTTGGGAGTAGTTATTTCTCATAGACGAAAACACTGATTTAAGTTTTTGCACCCTTATTTTTTCAATGTTATTTCTTCAACCATGATTTGTCGTCGACAATAATAAACTTAGTTATAAAACATGTTGACTGCACCACCAAAATAGAAAGTGCAGCGAAATTTACGAGCCATCTTTGCTAAAGCCGAGATAAGACGCAAAATGCAAATATTAGGTTGTCGGATAACTTCGTGCTGCTTTTTCGAAATTTCAAAATATTGAAATTTGGCAACAACAAGTACATAATTCGAAAGAACAGGTTGTCTTTTACTGTTGCAATCCAATGATGGGAGAGGGGGGGGGGTTTGTAAAAT